TTTCTATCACTTTGAATCTTTAATGTATGAAGTAATCAACTCATTTTATAATTTGGAATATTGACTTCAATTTCAAATAAATGCAACCTATATCTTCGAATCTTTAAGATATGAAATAATCAAATCATTTTATAACTTGGAATATTGACTTCAATTTCAAATAAATGCAACTTATATTCACATCTCCTGTTTCTTTGTCATCACTGCCAAATAACTTAATCTGAAAGAATGACTAATGCGATATTGTTGGAGAAATTTTTTTTTTTTTTTTTTTCTTCTTTTCACCCATTTTTTTATTTTTCTTTTTTTTTTTGGCAAAGATCATTTACAAGTAGTTTTATTGCAATAACTCTTGCTTCAAAGAAAATTAAACTAACAAATCCAATATCTAAAACCATTAATGTCATTAAACCAATTTTTTTTAAACAAAAAAAATATCTACAATTTTTATGCTTGGGAATATAAAGACAATATAATTAAATAGAGGAATAAACAAAAAAGAGAGTGTCAGAGGTTACCACAATCGGCCCTATTACACCCCACACCAAGTTACCATCATCTGATGGCGCGGGATCGATTAACATTCAATCTCAACCGAAAAAACAAGTTTAAGCCAAAACCTCTAATGGAATTATGAGCTCCTTTATCACAAATCTCAAACCCTTAGGTGAATCCCTTCAGCAATCTAGTTTGAGAGAGATGCGTTATATTTTTGCTACATCCTAAAACCTTTAGCCATAAATTCATAGTTGAGAGATGGGAGAGAGAAGAACTTCGTAGCCTAAACCCTTAATTTTTTTTACAATGTGGGAGAGAGAGATCTCAAATATGGGAGAGTGGGACAGGCCCCCTTTTGGGCTTTCATGAGAGAGAAAAACTTTTTTTTAAAAGAGAGAAAAAAAAATTCTAAGTGGGACGCGCCCTTTTGTGGGATATGAGAGAAAAAGATGAAAATTAAGTATAAGAGATAAGGTGTAGAGATTTTTGGTAGAGACCATCATTTTTTATAGGCTTTGAACAAGATTAGGGTTTTTTAAGATTTTCCTTAGCTTGCATCTTCTTGTGAGATTAAATATGACTCATTGATCTTGGGTGACTTGTGTGGTGAAAGATTTGAGTCATCTATTCCATAGATGAGCCATCAAAATTATAGAAGGTGGTAGAACTTTTATCCCTATTACCTAAACCATTTTTACATCAATAGAAATTAAATAAAATAATTCCAAATATAATATTATGCATACTAAAATAATGCACAAACTTTCTCATGCTTTCCAAAAATTCATTAAAAGCTTCCTCAAGCCAATACTTTTCCAAAACACATAGCAACTTGGCTTACAAGCCAAAGACACTTATCACAAAAAAATAAAAAGCTTCTAAATGGGTGGGGTGTGCCACCTATGAGAGGATCTCATAGCCCCACCATCTAGACCATGATGAGCCCATGTGCACAATGGGCCCCATGCAATATTAAAATTAATTATTTGATTTTTAAAAATTCATAAAATCAAATTTGAATATTTAAATCAATCTAAAATCAATATCTTTGTTTTTATAAATCTAAATTTGATAAATAAATATTCAGAGATTTAGAAACATTTAAATAATAATTCTAAAAATCTTGTATCATTAAAACAAATATAATTAAGTTCATTAGATGAGCAAAAGATCCATATCGTCTAAGAATTAAATCAATAAAGCACTGGGGCATTCTACCTTTAATTGTGGACTACAGACCATGCTTACTTTATCAAACCGACTCAGTATTTCCCATTGCCACAGTCCAAACAGGAGTTCATTAGTGGGTCGTCAAAGCCTGGCCGATGAGCCAAGGGATTGCAATATCAGTATGTAGATTTTCGGTTCTCCCCTAGAGACGTGCCAAAGTCACCTAGACCTGATGCGACAACAGCTCCTATGACGCATAGGTATATCTATCGCACATGCATAAATTTCACCTTGAAAGATGGTTTACTTTCCCGAAATGGTCTATCATTATACATGTCGTGTGATGGTACATAGATGAGGCTTTGGCTCTCGTCTCTGAAAGCCACTGTCACACACAAGGGTCACACAATTATTGGGTTACTCATCTAGGCATACTCCGACCTCATCAAGAGATAAACCATTATAACCCTTATTAGTTAATTTTTTATGCTCATGTAATATAGGTTATTCCCAACCGATAGTCTTAGACAGTCAAACATAGATTGGTATCAGCAAACATCGTTTGCTTAGTATGGTCCACGAAGGACCACACTCCCACTGAGTTCATATTCTATTATCATTTCATTTTACAAACACTCGTAATGGCCACATTCACCCAACATAATCTATGTGTCCCAATAGTATAATTACATAATATGCTATATTTTCACATAATGCCCTTTTTCTATGCAAACCATATGATATTTCATCTCCTAGCCATTAATTTCTCTTTATGTGATTATAATTCCAAATAAACTCTCACATTTATAAAAAACCCATTTACCCCCTCCGAGTTGAGAGATAATGACTTTTAACCCCCTTCTTATATTTTTTAGAGAAAATATCTTCATGCTCATTATTTTTAAGTTTCCTTTTACAATAGAACTAATATTTTAAAAGTTATATTGGGCATTAAAATTGTAGATTTTATTTTTGCTAGCCTCCTGACCTAATTTAAACATATTTTTTTAAGTCAAACAAATATAAAAAGACATGTCTTTTCTAAAAGCCATCCTAAATTTCTAAAGAGAGAGAAAGGCTTCATGGAGGTGAGAGATTCCAGGATAAGAGAGAGAATGAGAGAGATCTAGAAATAGAGAGAAAAATAGAAGTTTGAAGTATATAAGTGAAGAGAGAGAAAATATTGACTTTAGAAATAACATATCGTTCTCATTTTTGTTTAGGTTAAAAGATTGGTTTAAAGTAACCAGGGGGTTAGATGATATTTTTTGAACCCTTAGATTTATCAATAAATAAAACTTAAAAATAGAAGATATGAAAATATTTTTTCTATTTTCTATTGACCAAATGATAATATTTAATTGTTTTCTTCTTTTTCTAGTGACCCCCTCATTCAAAAATTAGAAAAAAATGTTCCCCACCCCCTTATCGCTGCCCACTTGTGAACGCCTTCCTCTCTTAAATTCCTCTCTCTCTCTCCCTCTCCCTCTCTCTAACATCGCTAGCAGATTAAATGTAGTAACCCAAATCTCATTTAGATGATGGGATTATTAGAACAAATTATCATCATCATAGTATTTTTTCAATTATTAGAACAAATACAATGTCTAAATGTGATTTGGATAATGTAAAAAAATAACAATGGAGTTAGATACCTTTCTTCTTCTTGTTTTCTTTTGTATTTATTTTTTTAATTTGGAAGGGAGTCATGAACTTTTTTCATACTTGAGGGTTTATTTGAAATTACAATTATCTATGCCTCTTTTCCTAATAATTTTCATTAGATTTATGAGTTAGATATTTCCATTCGTGCTAAACCCAATCCGGGGAAGGCATGAAATAAAACTGGAGTAGATTTTGCACTTGCGACCGTTTAAGGACTTATTTGAGATATGAATTTTGAGAGGGGCGAAAACTGACCTTATCATCGCAGTTAATTCTCGTGCTGGTCCTGGCGGCTCGTGAGCAGTCCAGTTTCCATGCAATGCTGGGCTCGTAGGTCCCACAAATCTCAACCATGGTTAAATAGCTTCGTTTTTGTTCCTTCTAATTCTTAACCATGGTTAAGTTAGAAACGAGGAGAAGCCACATTGGGACACCAAGTTTCGGGTTTTCGTTTCGGTAAGGGTTTTGGGGACGAAATTTCGGGAGTGCAAATAAGGTCAGTATTAATTGATGATGCCCAAAACTCAATAAATTTTGATTAAAAATGGGAAGACTTTTGCAATATGTTTACATTTGCAAACTTGAAACATTAAACACGAGTTTCTTTCTAAAATCGCAATTAATTGATGCTAAATATGGCCAAAATTCACTGAATTTTTAATGGCACATTTTGAACCATAGTTATATGTGATAATCAAAACTTTAAAAGTGTATTATGTGCTAAATCTACAATTAATTGTCTCTAAATATGGCCAGCATTCAATGATTTTGTCTAAATTTAAGGAACACGTTTGTAACACGATTTACATTTGAAAATGAAGCGTTAGACATGGATTTTCAATCACATGACTTAATAAATTTTTTAGTTTTATTTTTAGTTTTTTGCCCTCTTTAGCCTGGGTTTGGCTCGAAAACGGTTCCCTTTAAGGAAAAAACAAACATACACAAAAAGATTAAAAAGTGGCCAAATTTTACTAAATTTGAATTCATTGAAATTGAAACTTCAAATTTAAGCAATGTTTTTTAGTAGAAGTTAGAACTTATAAAATTGACTTTGATTAAAAAATTTAAAACTTGGATTGCCACTCATTGTGCCGAATTTGATATGAATCAGTACAAAAAAAATTTGAGATTAAAGGGCAGGGGACCCAAATTAGATTGTCAGGCCATCAAGTCCGGTCTAGATCGACAATTCTCAATCCGTATAACCGCGTTTTAAAATTCTAAATCAAACCAATAGTAGATTTTGGCTATGCTTCTTGTTGAATATTTTTCACAAAATTCAATATTTAAAAAATTCCTTCTTGCCATACGTAATTTAGCTGAAATTCTAAAATCGTTGGTAAACAATTTTAGGCAAAAATGAGGATCCTCCCCTTTTTAAGCGTTCAAAATTTTGTTTTTCCATGATCTGAGCCGTCTGCTTAAGTGGAGTAGATCTACAAAGCCCTTACATCTTGAGATCATGACCGTCTATTGGAGATACGAGGGACAAATTCGGTTGTTGTCATAGATCTTGGGTTAGGCCTATGCTCGTTATATACTACAAACCGAAGGTTATTTTTGATCGATTCTAGGGTAATAACGCAATATCAGCAACTAATAGGGGTAGTTTAGTCAAAGTTTGAGTTCGAGGGCGGTAAGACGTGCAGAGCTTCTCTGCGTAAAAGGGTGGTGAGACTTAAAGAAGCAGGGGTTGCTTCTAAAACCTGGTTTTCTGTCCATTTATCTTTCTGCATTTCCATTATCTCGAGCTCTGCAATGTCCATTTTTTCACAGTAAAGGAGTGAAAGAGAGGATTTGGAGCTTGAGCTACAATGTGTTGGTTTTTCTGAACCAGAAGAGGTTCATTTCATGAGCTGAGGTTGTGATTTGAATGGTCTAGGGTTTATTTCTCAAATATTTATTGATATTTGTTTTATGACGTTTTATTTTGTATAGTGATGAAAATACAGTGAATTTTGGCTGTTTGGTTTGGTTTTGATGGTTTCTCTGAAGAAGATGAGGTCCTTTTCAGTTGTAGAAGCTCTGGTCCAAAGATTTTTGGAAAGAGTTGTTTAAATGTTTTATTTCGATCAATTTTTGAAGAATGGAGAGATTACAGTGAAACTTTAGGTTTTCATTTGTAATGTAATCGTTTTCATTGCCGGAAAGGTTTGTTTAAGAAGAAGTAACTCGGATACAGAGATTTTTAAGCTGCAATGCTTGTAATAGAAAAACAAAAAACAAAAATTAATTAGTTTTATTTCTTTTTTATTTTCCGTTTTTTTTTATTTGGAATGGATCTCAAAATCTTTGATAATGCATTTTGATCTATGCTGGAAAAGACCCTGTTTAAGAGGTTTGATTTTTCTTCCTTTGTTTTCTTCTTCTTCAAAAGTTTTTTTTAACATTTTGCCAAGGTCTTAAACTAGACCTGGATTTTGTGGTTACTCTGCTTTAAAATTGTTTTTCGTTACATGCATTTAAAATTACAGTACTCAGGCATGTTCTCTTAGTTATTTTAGATTTAGCTACTTAGATGAAGACTCAGCTAATAACTTTCTAGTTCATTAAAACCTCTGTAAATTGTTATTTTTCTTCACTGATTCAAAGGTTTAAAAAATGTTTCTTTGAACATTCTCAGATTAACACTTTCTCTGCTGCTTTTCCTCAGTTCAAACAGTAGGGGGATTTCTTGATTTGGAGACCTTTATCTATGTTTACAAGGTTCTGAAAATTATTCGGTCAAAGATACATGGGATTAGAACCATAACGCTTTTGTTCTTTTGTTAATGTCTTTCTAATGCTTTTATTTAAGGGCTCTGAACTCTATCAGTTTAAAGGTCCCAACCCTTACCCTAAGACATTGATGCTTTTTTGAACCAGAAGATCTTTATTTCATCATGTTTTAAGACTTTTCAACATTTCACTGAAAGTTTTATGGTTGATGTTACGGGTTAGTGTATCGTCTATAGTTTGCTTTATTGGAAGAAGCTTAATTGGTGCTTTACGTAATTTTACTACCTTAATTTAGAAGGTTCTTAAATTTCATTTGTCCAAATATTGCGAGATTAGCCCCCTCTATATCATCATTAAGATCACCTGGATTTTGTATTTATTTATAGTTTTTCAATGAAATTTTCATTTCCCAATTTTGAGGTTCTGAAGCTTTGCATTTTAAATTACTTCTAACCTAGTTTTATTTCACATAAATAATTAAAAGGTTTCTTTCATTAGTTTTTTAATAATATTTAATTATATTTTATTTTCATTTTTAACTATGGTTTCAGATCTGAAAGGTTACAGACCTCAAAGATTCTTTTTTTTTTTACTTGACCTGAAGAGCTTCGTCTTGTCACTTCAGTGCTTTTGAGCATTGGATTTGAAGGTTTTGAACCATTTGGTTTTTATTACCTTATGAAAATTGAAAAGTGGGAAAATGTTTTTTGCTTCAATTTTCAAGCATAATTTTAATCGTAGTCTGAGCTAGTTTTACTCTTCATTTAGAGACCTATTAACCTAAAAATCATTGCTTCCTTGACTCATAGGCACTGTTTTCTTCTCCTTTTTGCCTTTCTTTTGCTTTCTGTCTTTTCATTGTTTTGGCATCTTGTTCTTAGGTTTTGGGTCATTCTCGTAATGATCCTGATGCTAATATGAACTTCATCGTTTCTTGACCAGGCGGTTTATTCATTATTGCCGTTGTTGGGTTTGATTTAGAGCTTCCTAATTCTTTGAATATCTGGAAGCTGAACCCGGAATCTCTGCTTTGATGTTCTACATAAACTGTGGCCGTTATCTCTCGATCTTCAGAGCTTCAGGGGCTATAATGTGTTCATTGAATCATTTTGGCAAAAATATTTATGGGATTCTATTGTAAATATCTCGTTCTTATACAATGGTTTAGCTTTCTGAGGCAAACGATTCAAGGCCATTTTCTTCAATACTGAAGGGCTTAAGAATTTCTGATCGACCTAGTAATCACCGAGTTAAACCCAAACCTCGATTTTACTTTTCCCTGTTATACTTTTGAGGAGCAGAAGGAATTATTGTCAGCTCTACAGTGATTTGATGCTACATTTTGTGAGGTTCTTTCCTATCGACGACTGGGCAAGATACCATGTGATCTGAGAAGAATCTCACGTTATTAAGAGATGATGGCCAGTGATGGGGATGCAACCAAAAGGATACCCACTTTCACAATGGACGTACCCTGCTTGCTTTTGCTTTTCCCCCTCTAAAACAGTGAAGGTTTCGTCCCGTCTGTGACTTCTATTGCAAAACAAAAGACACCCTCTCAAACTCATATGCATCTCATTGCCTTCTTTCCAAAAAGAGAAAAGGAAAAAGATTAAAGTTCTATCCGAAAGGGAATATTAAGTGAATTAAACCTTGGATAGTCCCTGATTTGAGGTTTTCGGTTTATAAATTAATTGTTCTTTGAGCTCATAGAAGGTTCTATAATGCTTATTGTAGCTGAGGTTTAAGTTATATGGGCTTCCTTAAGTGGGGTTCGTGGAATCAGGTGTTTTAAAGAAGAGAAGGGTGAGTAGAGAGAGGAAAGGGTTTATGTAATGAGTTCTTCTAATATTGTGATTCAAAAATGTGGGAGGGTGGAGAACGGATCGGATGTTGCAGAGAAGGTGGTGGTCGCTGTAAAAGCCACCAAGGAGATTCCGAAGACTGCTCTCGTTTGGGCTCTCACTCATGTTGTCCAGCCCGGTGATTGCATAACCCTATTGGTCGTTGTGGCTGGGTCTAGTTCAGGTGGAGTCTCTAAACGTCCTCTTCTTCTTTTTTCTTATTATTCTTTAAAAATTGTTTTTCATTATTGTTGTCAGTAGAGTACTCCTTCGGGCATGACCAGCATCATCCTTATGAGTTATGACAAACATTATTCTCATTTCTCTCATAACTGTTAGGGTGCCTATTAGGTGGGTGCCAATGGCACTGCATGTTTATGTTGGCCCTTGATCGAACTGTGGGGGCCGTGTTATTCCACTTTATTTTACTATTATTAAAAATTTATAATGGATACCATTGATATAGTCCCTCTGATTTTGTTTTTTGTTTCCCCTCCTATTTTTACTTCTTTAATGTCTTATTGTCTTTTTTCTTTTTTGGCTTTGTTCGTTGGCTTCATGGCAGATGAGTGCTGTAATATTTGTTCATTTTGTGGCAGATGTAGTTATTAGGGATTTTGACTCCCTCTTTAGTCCTCGTGATGCATTTGTTAAGTTGTTGATGTGGCTAACGCTTGAGTTAATTTCCTGGTGGGGCTGATATATTCTTTTAGATCTGATGCTATTTTTTGGATGTTGTTCATTTTCCTTTGCAGTAGAAAAAGAAATATGGGAGTCCTTTATAGAATTATGGTAAATATGTTTGGGAATAGATGGAAAAAGATATATGTATTTTTTTAAAATGTAATGCTCCTGTATGGGTCAGAGCTATATTTACTGAGTTTCTATTGTTATTTGTTATTTTCCAAGTCGGGATCCAGTATCCATTCTTGATGATCAATGATGGAGGTTACCTGTATCTTCTTTGAGTGTCTTGGTGGCCTCTTGTACTGTCCATTTTCACTGTCTGTTAACATGAATGATAGGTGGATGCCCAGTAATGTGTATACTCTTCTCTATATTGTTCAATGGCTGGTTTGGAAATATTAGCTAATTCTCTTGTTTTTTTTTTTTTTTTTTTCTTTTACTTAATTTGTTATCTTGAAAATCATCTTTTGCTCTATAACAGAAAGGAAAAGCCAAAGATTGTCGGCTCATTTATCTTTTCAAATTGTAATTATGACAACGATTGTTTTTTTGTTATTCATTCAAATTATTGTGGCATTTGCGTACCAATTAGACGCTCCACATATAAGATAGAGGTGTATATTTAAGCTCTAGCTTGTTCACTATCAGTATCACAAACTTGAATCTGATCCCCGACTCTGTCATAGTGATAACCGAGTCAAGTCGTCCTAGATTATCAATTTTGAGGAAAGCTCATTCGACTTCCTCAATTTCCGAGAAAAACTTAACTTCTTTTTTTTTTCAATATCGAGGGAAAATCTCGGAGAGCTTTTCAATATTGGAAACTAAAAACATTGAGCTTTTTCCAATATTAGAAAAAGCAAAACAAGGAGAGTTTATCAATCTTGGAAAATAAAAATTATGATGGAAAAAAGTTTATTTGAACCTGGGATCAAGTTTATTTGAACCTGGGCCAGAAGCTTTATTTGAACGTGGGACCAAGTTCAGAAATGTACTGTGTAACCAGCTAAAGTTTTAGATGTTAATTCTTGTGCTTTTAACTTAGTAACTGAAAAACTTGACGAAACAGAATTTTCATTGTAATCCTCACAGAACCATGGATTCGGGCTAATTCAGACGTGTTGCTGTTATTCATTCACATTGAATAACAACCTAGAGCTCAAATATACAATTTTCATTGTAATCCTCACACTCTTCATATTTTTCTCTCTGCTCTTGTCGTTACAGCTCTGGGACATTTTGGTTTGATGTGCAAGTCCTGACTCCTTTCTTTACCACTAAAATTGGGTTCTAACTTTTGGAATACAAATCGTGGCATGCTATCCATCTCTATTTAGATTTTAGTAAATGTCAACCTTGCTACCCATACCTCGTGAATCTGATTGGTGTACTTTATTAATATACAGGTAGAAAGCTATGGGGTTTTCCGAGGTTTGCTGGAGATTGTGCAAGTGGTCATAGGAAGTCTCAGTTGGGAACTACTTCTGAGCAGAAATGTGAGATCACAGATTCCTGTTCACAGATGATTCTTCAGCTTCAAGGTGTTTATGACCCAAACAAGGTAGCTTCTCTATAAATCTAGCTTCGCTAGGCTTTCATAGGTTTTCCTGTTAAAATTTGGATATATACTAATTTTTTATGTGCTTTTGTCAGATAAATGTCAAGATAAAGATTGTATCTGGTTCACCTAGTGGAGCTGTGGCTGCCGAGTCCAAAAAAGCTGGAGCAAACTGGGTGGTATTGGACAAGTAATTGTTCGAATAATAAAGCATCTATCTCAGTTTTTTCCAGACAGTTATAGCTCAGTTTTAATATATTTAGCACATTTTTCTATTAATGAGATGCACATTCAATTAGTCAATTAGAGATGGATGGCATTTTTTTTTCATGAAGCAATGTTCTTTTGATAGTAATTTCTTGTAGCATGAGTTGCATGAAAAATTTAGAATATGAGACTCTTCTAATGGACTATTAAATATGAGACTCTTCTAATAGACTATTACAAATAGAGGGAAAAATTGAACTTTTTGATTGGTTGGTGAACAACATCTGTGCCTGAGAATAACCTGTGAAAGTTGTAGGATGTGAATCAGTTTATTCAATTATTTTCTTTACCCTATTTGACTCATATTACTGGTAATATTCTGCGAAGCACCAATAAGTGCATATTCTTCTTTGGTTAACTAAGGATTGTCTCCAGTATTTTAACCACAAAATAAAGGTCAGTGTTTTAGATTAGGACATGGTTTCTATGAGTCCATGTTGAAATGAGTCACCTCTTTAAAGTCTATTTTTGAGATGGATTTTTGGACTTAATTTTGATGGACATGTAATATGGAGATCATGAATATGAAAAAATAAATAAATTTTAAAAATTAGAAATAATAATTCTATTAAGAAAACATTTGGACCGTTAGTTTCAATTGTTTTTAGATGGACCACCTATTTGCATCTATCCTTAAGATGGATGGTTTATACCTTGGGACTGCATATTGTAGAAATGCGATCCAGCGTGCATGAAACAATTTTCCTTCAGATTATATGGCAAAACTTAATGATACTTATGGCATTCCGTACTGTTTGACATTAACTTTATTTAAATATAAATATGGGCATCAGGGGAAGAAGTGTGAAATTTACAGACTTCTCTAAATAGAAAGTATTTGCACTCCCTGAGCCAAATCATTATATGATAGTTAAAATTCATTGAATACCATTTGAATCATAATTGTGGTCCAGGCTCTCAGCTGGTCGGTTAGTTCATTGAGAGCTCGGCACAACATCCATTGTTCAATTCCCCCACTCTTGTGCTAAGTCCAAAAAAAATCAAGCATTACATTTCGGGGAATGCTTCGGAATGCAACTATTGCACACTGGTATAGTTTACTCTAAAAATTAGCAATCCTGGAAATACTGTTACCGGGAATGAATCCATGTATGTGCATAATACGTCTATACCTAATATAGTTCAGATTGTTATTTTAAGGACTGTTAAAAAAGGTCGCTATCATAGCTGCATTCCAAGTTCCATAATAGCTGAAATGCATAACTTTTGTGTTTATACTTATTATTCCATCATTTATTCATGCACTTACGTTTCTCTCTGCACAGACAACTGAAGAATGAGGAAAAACGTTGCATGGAGGAGTTGCAGTGCAACATTGTGGTCATGAAGCGTTCCCAACCAAAGGTTCTTCGGCTGAACTTGGTAGGATCACCCAAAACTGACCAGCCTAAACCATTACCCACACCTCTAGAACCAGAAGAAGACTCTGAAAATCTTCCCAAAAGTTCCTGCAAACCATCAAATTCTTCAATGCGAGGGCCAGTTGTGACTCCAACGAGCAGTCCAGAGCTAGGAACTCCTTTTACCAGAACTGAAGCTGGTACATCTTCAGTCTCTAGCTCTGACCATGGTACCTCCCCATTCTTTACCTCAGAAATGAGCGGAGGCATAAAGAAAATAGAGCCCAACATCATGAAAGAAAACTGCAGTATAGATGAAACTAGCGAGTCAGGAGAAGAGCCAAATGCCATTTCTGATACTGATAGTGATAATTTAAGCCCCCCTTCAACAAGCTTTGACTTTCAGCCATGGATGTCTGAGATGCTCAGTACCCATCGACCAACTTCTCGACATGGTGAGGAAAATCCAGTGCAAAATCATGGACCTAGTGGGAGAACTCAAACTGCTATGGCAAGAGCCTTGCTAGAAAAATTCTCGAAATTGGATCGAGAAGCGGGAATTGGCCAAAGAAACTATCGGGTTGATACAGAATTCACATCAAATGTCAGAGATGCCATTTCTCTTTCTAGGAATGCACCCCCTGGCCCTCCTCTCTGTTCTATATGCCAACACAAGGCCCCTGTGTTTGGAAAACCACCAAGGTGGTTTAGTTATGCTGAGCTTGAACTTGCGACGGGTGGATTTTCTCAGGCAAACTTCTTGGCTGAAGGTGGTTTTGGATCAGTTCATAGAGGGGTTTTACCTGATGGTCAGGCCGTGGCTGTGAAGCAACATAAGCTGGCTAGCTCTCAAGGTGACTTGGAGTTTTGCTCAGAGGTTGAGGTCTTAAGTTGTGCGCAACACCGAAATGTTGTGATGTTAATTGGATTTTGTGTTGAGGATAGGAGGAGGCTGTTGGTCTATGAATACATCTGCAATGGATCATTGGATTCTCATCTCTATGGTAATGTATCTGTGTAATGCATAAAATTTCCTTCTCTTCTTGAATGACTAACTTATATTAATTTGATAGATAGAGATTGCATAGCATTAGAAGTAGCCATGCTGCATTTGCTTCAAGCTTAGCAACACAGTAAAGTCAAAGTATCTGGGTGGAAAATTTCATGGTGGAATAGTTGAGGTGGCTCCATTGACATCTGATTCCAGAATTTCTGTTATTGCACCCCATGCACATTCATATTTTGTGTATGTGAATGTACATATAAAGGTATTTATGCACATAACATGCATGTGGCGAGGTGTCCTGATTGCTTGCTTCAATTTTTAGCACCATTGGCTATATATTTCACTCTAAATATTGGCTTGGCCATCATAACCTTTCCCTGTCCCCTACTAGGCTGACATTCTTTTCCCGTCCATTAATTTGGTTCTTGTTGTAATCTTCTTTGATAATTAATTTGGGTCTTTGGTATATAATGCCATTCATTTAATAGTTGAGAACATATCAATTAAAGTTTTAAATTACCGTACAAAATCATTAAATGTGCCAATAATCCTATTTGACATTAGGAGTGTTGCTTTTTAACTTTTATTTGACTCAAGTACCTTGTAAAAAAATATAGTAAAAATGAACTAATTGCCTCCGTTCAGGATTGGGAACCTAGAATAAGCTGAGGCCTTTTGGTAATTAACCCTTCTTGAGTGGCTTGAGCCAAATGACAAAAAATGCCCCTAGTTGTAGCCACATAGAACTGCTAAATGTAAAAAATACTGGAACTCACTTTTTTTCATTGTAAATCCTTGCTCCATGTTGCTAAGTCTGAAGAAACCAGGGGTATTTTCATCATTTGCTTGAGCCACTCAAATGGGGCGAAATTATCAATTTCCTGTTTCACTTCGAGATGCCCAATCTTGAGCATGGGCAGTTTGCTCATTTTTATCTTATGTTTTTGAAGAAGTGCTTGAGTGAAATTCAAAAGCAACATTCCTAATGTTAGATATGATGATATTTTTTAAGGTAATTTAATGGTACGCAACCCTCACTTTTTAAACTATGAGTTCATTGGTACAAAACCTGTCTTCTTACTTAATGATTTAGTGCGCATCGTCCAGTGCATAAGTGCACAATGCTTGTCATAAGTGTGGGTAATATTGCTACATTTTGCTCATGAAGTACTACATAAGTGTGCTTAGTACTCAGTCTTGTGTACCGCGCACCACGCATCGCGCACAGCACAAGCCACTCAATGCACACTATTCATGTGCAATGTGTAGCAATGTTGCCTGCACTTAAGACGAGCATTGTACACTTATGCACCGTACGATGTGCACTATGTTCCCCAAAATACATGCTCACGAAGTACTACAGAAGTGCGCTTAATACTCAGTTTTGTGTACTGCACACTGTGCACAAGACTGTCTTGTTGAGTGAAATGAAATTTCAAAAGCAACACTCCTAATGTTAAATATGATGATTTGACAGCTTTAATAATTTTTTAAGGTAATAATGGTACGCAACCTTCACTTTTTAAACTATGAGTTCATTGGTACAAAACCTATCTTCTTACTTACTGATTTAGTGCACATCGTATAGTGCATAAGTGCACAACGCTCGTCATAAGTGTGGATAACATGGCTACATTTTGCACACGAAGTACTACATAAGTGTGCTTACTACTAAGTCTTGTACTGCGCACCACGCATCGCGCACAGCACAAGCCACTTAGTGCACAGTATTCATGCACAATGTGTAGCAATGTTGCCCGTACTTATGATGAGCATTGTGCACTTATGCACCGTACGACGCATACTACGTTCCCCAAAACACATGCGCACGAAGTACTACATAAGTGCGCTTAATACTCAGTCTTGTGTACTACTCACTGTGCACCGTGCACAACACAATCCACTCAATGCGTGCTATTCATGTGCTCTCCTTTCTTAATCTAAGCACTTACTATGGAATGCCATTGCCATTGTGGCTTGAGAACCTGACTGAGATGGTGACTTCTGTGCCTGTAGGGCACAATCGGGAGCCATTGGAATGGGCTGCTCGGCAAAAGATTGCAGTAGGGGCTGCTAGGGGACTTCGGTACCTTCATGAAGAATGTAGAGTTGGTTGTATTGTTCACCGTGATATGAGGCCAAACAATATCCTCATCACCCATGACTTTGAGCCACTGGTATGGCTTCTGTGAACTCATTTCTGGAAATCTTTATAGTACTTTGAGTTTTTACGGATTCTGAATGAGCAATGAATGTCAGAATGCGCTGTGATGCTGATATATGTCCCTCTTCTCTTGCATGTAAACTTTCTGTTTATGACAATATATTTATTGAAAATGAAAAGGAAAAAGCGGATGGTCATAGTGCTTTATGACTGTCCAGCTAGAAATAGGTAGGTGTTTCTTTTCTTAAAACCATAGACCTCTTAGCAGAGTTGCTCTCAGCTAATGTCCTACATTGTTCTTTTGCGTGGTCCATAAAAGCCAAAATTGTCATGTATTACATTTGGTGGATGTCGGGTTTAGTGATCTCCTTGATATGACATAGTGGTTCCAACTGGCTAACATGGTCCCATTCAATTCCTTATTTTACAAAATAGTTCACCTGAATGGGGTTGCTATTTACAGAGTTTATATATATATATATATATATATATATATATATATATATTTGAAGATTAACACTTCAAAACGGTATATATTTGAAGATTATCATCAAAAGTGCTTAAATCCCTTAAGGGTTATCGAGCACTATATTTTCAGTAGAAGTTGTTTGGTCATCTTTTTTGAACATCTGTGAGGCTCCTTGACCTGCTATCTTTTCTTCAATTCTTTTTGTTTTTTTTATTTCATAAACAAAATTGTTCTGTTAGGTGGGAGAAAAGGAGGGAGTTTTTGTTTTTGCAACATCTTATGTGTAGGTGGCAGGTTATGATGAATGATTTTGCCACCTCTTCATGTGGGGTCAAATCTCACCCATTTTTACATGCTCAGCGAAAGATAATGACTCCACATACAAGATTTAAAAGAATCTGGTATGTGAAGTCGAAAAACTAAATTTATATATTCAGTAAATGCACTGTTATATACAAATGATGTTATGAATTTGCAGATCTGTTTCATGGATAGATTTTATTGCTGTATTTTCCTGAATGTGTCCCTATTTTCTCTTGTGGTTGACAGTTATCTAATGTCTTTTTAGGTTGGAGATTTCGGCCTTGCAAGGTGGCAGCCAGATGGTGACCTTGGTGTAGAGACTCGAGTAATTGGGACATTTGGGTAATTAGATGGGACTCTCACCCTCTCTCGCTCTCTGTCTCTGTCTTTCTCTGTAAGGGTATTAATTGATTCCCTTCTTGTGATGAAGGTATCTAGCACCAGAGTATGCTCAAAGTGGACAGATCACAGAGAAAGCGGATGTATACTCCTTTGGTGTGGTTCTTGTGGAGCTTGTTACTGGACGCAAAGCTGTTGATATCAACAGGCCTAAAGGCCAGCAATGCCTCACAGAATGGGTATGAAACAAGAAAAACTAGAGAAACTTTAAGAATTCCGATGGAGTTAAACTCTTGTGCTAATGCCCAGTTAGTTCTAACTCTTGTAAAATGATCAGAACTTTCTTATGTGAAAACAACCATCATGTTGTGTGTGTGTGTGTGTTTGAGAGAGAGAGAGAGAGAGAGATTTTGCCTTCCTTTTCTATGCCACTTATATTATTGTAATATGATCAGAACTTTTTTTTTTACTTATATTATTGTAATATTATTGTAATATTATCAGAACTCCTGTAAAATGATCAGAACTTTTTTTTTTATTCTTATCATTATTAAAATCCCTCTCTTTTATTTACTTAAGGGCCCATCCCCAAAACCCAAGTTTATGTTTGGAAGGCTATTATGTTTCTTGCAAACCCATAGAAGCAGAATGACTTTTGTTTCTCTTCCCAAACTGAAAATGCAATTCATGTTTGCAAAACTCAATATTTACTACAAACTTGTTGACAGTGATTTCCCTTTTACCTTTCTCCTGTCTTCTCGGCTTTTCTTCTAAGCAGGCTCGTCCCCTATTGGAGGAATATGCGGTAGAAGAGCTGGTGGATCCACGACTTGAGAACCGTTATTCTGAACAAGAGGTCTACTGCATGCTTCATGCTGCCTCGTTATGTATTCGGAAAGACCCCTATTCGAGGCCTCGCATGTCTCAGGTTAGAGCTTCTTTATGATCTTTTGAGAAAAGTAAAAAGTCATTGAAGTTATGAATGGTTAAAAATACTACTAATAAAATTCATTCGTCCATCTTTTTTTTTCTTTGAAATTATTGGAGTATGTATAGAAATAAAAAATTTAAAACTAGTAATAAAGAAAATTATAAAAGATGGTCACCTTTTTTGGAGCTAGAGGTTGTATATATGAAAGAATAGAAATTTCTATGGCTGCATGTTTTGGCTTTGTGAAACTTGGACTCATTTGTGCAAGATAAGTTACTGGAGTCGCTGACCTCTCAATGCGCTGGTACCGTGAAGCCGTCCAGGGGCCAAAAAAAAGAAGTGAATCTTTGTTGTTGCATAAATTAGAAAATTTGGTTCCAATATCACCAACTTATGTCAATTTCAATTTTATGATCACTTTTGATCTATGTTTCTTAGGCTAGATATGGCCTACCTACAAGCTTTTCTCTAGAGAGAGAGAGAGAGAGAGAGAGATGTCGAAGTAAGAAAATGTTTGGACTTAGGGGGCCTGTTTGTATCGTGTGGATAAAGCGCTTCGGATGTGTGAAAGCAGCTTTTTGGAGTTTTACCCCAATCCAGAATTTGTCATTATCTTGCAAAATGAGCCACATAGCTGGAATAAAGCACTCCACATCAAAACGCTACACAAAAAGGACACTTTTGTGTCTACCATATCAGCGACTTTTGCGCTATACTACAGGCCCTTAAAGTTTTAGGAAGACCAATATGATAATCTCTTATAACCCTTGTATTTGCTAGTCCTGCCCAAAATACTGGTGAGAATATAGAAAACACAACCAGTGCAGTGAAAACATGTTTTAGAATGGTGGCTCCTATTATAATTATTGTTGTTTCTTATGAGTATTGCTGTTGAAAATCAGGGGCTTCGCATCGATTTTGCACATTGACTATAATAGTAAGTTGTAAAAGGTCTCTGATCATAATCCTAGAAAGAGAAGCTAAACTTTTGACCTTGTTTTTTGGAAATAAGGTGCTTCGGATTCTTGAGGGTGATGTGATTATGGATTCGAACTATGCATCCACGCCTAGTTATGAAACAGCTTCAGTTGGGAGTCGAAGTGGGAGAATGTGGAATGAGCAGCCCCAGTACAGTGGCCCAATACTTAACGACAAGCTCTCTGATGAAGCTTTGAGGGCTGCTTATTGGGAAAGAGAGAAAACAAAGAGAGTCTCATGTGAGGATTAAATGAGCAAGTCTCCTAAGCGTGAGTATAAATAAATTTTTGCATTTGGGTGTATTTATTTGCATTATTAGTGTCTTTTTTGCCAGTATCTGTATATCCCATTGTATGGTTCTCTCTAAAATTTCATTGACACTCAAATTAAACATAGAGCAGAAAAAAGTTCTTGGAGGGCGTGTTGGCAAACACCTTGGCTAAAATGCATCCAAATTGATGAAAATTGCTGCCAATGTACTTGTAAGTGGTATTCTTTCAGTGCGTCTTGTTTGTGTAGGGGTGTCAATGGTCCGGGGCTTTGAGATTGCGTCCGGAGTTCGGCCGGATTCTGGCCATTTGTTGGGCTTCCTTCTGGCTGGGCCCGGCCCCGTTAACAAACGTCCTTTATTTGGGGTGGGATTGAGCCATGCACTGACCAACCCGGCCACGGCTCAAAAGCCCGTACTCTAGAAGTGTCTCATCTCTCTCTCTCTAGCCGGACAGCCTGAGCGCCCTACCTTGCCTCTCTCTCACGCGGGCAATGATGGCTGCTTCTCCCTCTCGGCAAGAAAAAATACCCACAAATCTTCGGCCCTTCAAGAGGCCCCTAGACTTACTCTTTGGAATCTCTGTTCTCTCACTAAAAACCAAACTCATGTCAAATAAAAAGACCTCTCTTCAATAAAAACCCTAGTACAATCATCAAATAAAATATCTTTATCTCACCATCATCAGAGGTTTTTCCAATATCATAGCCTTTATTTCAATTATTTGGGATCGATTATAAAAATTCAAGAATGCCATTCAGCTCTATTAAAAGCCATATTCTCAGTGAGATATTATGTCCCTCAATCTTTTTAAACTATTTTTAACTATGTCGTTTTAGATTTACCTTGTGCTTTTTTTAATCTTTCTAATTTAATGAACTCGTATTTCTTAATAGGTATTGTACTAGGTTGGTGTCATACATGATCAGTCTACTTAAGTCTATTCTATCTTCTTATCGTTTATTAGTACCACATTTAAATTTTTTTGAATCATTCAATTTTAAATTTCTTTTGGTCTTGTCTTATCACTCATCTTTTATCTCAATCACTTAAAAAGATGTAAAATTTACAAAAATCCACTAAAAGGAGATTTTGTAGACAACATGCTCTCAACCAAGTTTTTTTTGGTACTTTTACCCCAAATTGAATTTGTTTTAGCAAGTACCCTTAAGTGAAAAAAAAAGTCCATATTTTTGTTTTTTTTTTGATGAAATACCCGTAGTGCTGGATTGCCTTCATTTTGTGTTGGATCTCTCTTTCCATTAAAGGGCAATTTGCATATGGATGCATTCGTAGGTGTAGAGGTAAGGTACACTTTCAAATGTTATCATGTATATCATTTTGATGTAAAATGTTCTTAGGATTATCTCAAAATCTATTTTTATATCTAATTATAAAATTTTAAATTTCAAAAATGGTTAAAATCAAGTAGATCTATAAACATATCTTGAAAGTGGATGGTGTAGAGAATATGTTGTAAAACGCATTATTTTTGAGATTTAAAATCTTTTTATTTTTCATAGTCATACATCTCGATGTTGAGATGATCAATCAAAGGGTTTTTCAACATTAAAACTACCTTTTTCGATGGATTTTTGAGAGGCATCTAAAGTTCTACAGTATAAGGTTGCATCCTTATATAAGCTTTTTCCTCCAATAAAACTCCTATAAACATCTAGCTCTTCAAATAAGCTAATCCTCTCTCTCCAAACTCAACGCTTTCCCTTCCATCATCACCCATAAAAGCCATAGGAAATATAGAGTTGGCAACGGGCCAGGCTTGGGCTGGTCCTACCTTGGCCTTAGCCGGCTCGATCCTGAACGGGCTAAAGAGGCTGTGCCCCAACTGACCCTAATATCCTCATAGTGAAACTAAGAAAAAAATTAAAGAAAAACTAGAGCACAAAGGGCGGGCTGGGCCTGGTTGGCCCTCCATGGCTTGGCTGCAGCCAGGCCCTAGGGCACCCTTTTGTGGCCCAGGCCGTAATTTCTTTGGGCCTGGCCCATTGCGAGCCTTGAGGAAAGCTCACCATAGCTGTAACTTTCCCTCCCGTCAAAATGTCCTCCAGGAATAATAGCTCCGTTATCGAACTCTATGAGTCACTCTAGAAAATTAAAGCTGCGGAAGAGAGGGAAAGAGGCTAACTTGCAATTGGAAAGGGATTGCAATCTTGAAGCCAGTACAGTGGTGGAAGAAGTTCCCATCTCGGTGACATGAATGTAGGAGAAGAGTGGCGTTAGAGAGACAGATATGTTTGGGTTAAAGGAAAACCCATAAGATTTTCGGACCGGGCTGGGTCAGGCTCGACAAAAATGTTTTCAAGCCAGGTTAGGTCGAGCATGCCCAGATTTGGGGATTTTTTATGGTGCTTTTGCTTCAATGAATATTGCAAGGACTTCAATAGAAAGAACAGAAAAAAAAAGAGAAAGCATCACACTTTTCTTCACCCAAGTTTGGGATGGAAACTATAAGATCTTTGTATTTGTTACATAGAGGTCACAATTACTCTAACTCATATCATATGACTTGGGGTGGGGTGTATCTCAAAGTTTGAAATTTTTTTTTTTGAATTTTGAGTTTAGTCAATAACACACTAACAAGAGTGTTTGTAACCTCTTTATAACAAAAATAAATGGTCTTTTAAGTGATTGGATAGGCGTAGGGGTGCATGCTTGAAGATGGAGTTTAAGAGAAATTAGAGGTTGGATAATGTTAGGGAATATGCTAAAGGATGGGTTGGAAAAAATAAGTATTAGATCTATCTAGTATATCTCTTCTTCAAGTTTATGTGGGGGTGAAATTTGTGCCACATCTAAGGGTAAATGTCACATCTAGAGTAGACATTGTGCTTAATATGGCAAACTTCATTTCTCTCCATTTCCAAAAGGTTAGACCAAGCAGCCGCCTGTAGCAGGGTGTTTTAAGTTTGAACTTTGATGGATCATCACTTGGTAACCCAGGGGTGGAAGGAGTGGGTGGTATTGTAGCATTAGTGAGAGTATCGTTATTTTCTATTATGCTGGTCTGTGTGATTTTGTATATGCAAATCATGCTGAAATTGCCTCTCTTGTGGAAGGGGTTTTAATTTGGAAAGAAAGCTGCCTGCCTGGGTGATATTTTGATTAGGGTGCGGTTTCGGTAAGGTTGCAACCTTAAACAATCCAATTAAGGTGCACTTCCAAATTTTATTATAACATGTGATTTTGGTATAAAAAAATCTTAGGATTATCTGAAAAATCTATTTTTATATATAATTATAAAATTTTAAACTCAAAAAATGATTAAAATCAAGTAGATCTATAAATATATGACAATCTTGATAATAGATGGTCTAGATAATGTGTTGCAAGTTGCACTATTTCTGGGACTCAAAATCTCATTTTTTTTTTCATATTCATACATCTTGATTTTGAGATGGTCAATTCGAGAGTTTTTCAACATTAAAACAACCTTTTTGGTGGAGTTTTGAGGTGTATATGTGATTCTACATTTTAAGGTTGCACCCTTATATAAACTTTTTTCATTTGATTAATGAAGCTGATTCCTTTGATGCCATTAGTTGGTGTAATACGATATTGAGACCACCCCAGAGTCTTAGATCCATGTGGTTACATGTGATGAACTTAACATGTCTTCGGCAGTAAGCTTTTATCATGTGGATTCGTTCCTAGTTTCGTCTGTTCTGTTTTGATAAATGATTTGTAACTCTATTTTAATTAATTAAAAATACGTATCTTTGTTAAAAAAAAAAAAGTGGCAAATTAAGTAGAATAGAGATAAGGTTTGGGATGGATACAATGAGAATAGACAGGGTAGCAGTTAAAAGAGAATATATGGTAGGAAATGAGATGTAGAGTAAGGGTAACAATGGACCTGGTGGCCTGGCCCCAAAAAAAGTAGTCATGGGCTATAAACTGTGGCCTGAGGGCCGAGCAAACACAACATGAGAGTAGGGCTATGCTGGGCATGGGCATGGCCATCCTGATTCGGCCCGGCCAGGCCCTTTTTTCTTTTTAAATATATTTTTTTCTTTTTATGTTTTTTGATTTTATATTGCCCAACCTGACCCTAATGGGGTTAGGGCCAGGCTTGGGCTAGGGCCTTTGCCAGGCTGGCCCAGCCCTATGGGGTCTACGGCTGGGCTAGGACTGGCCCAGCCCGTTACCAACCCTAGTTTTGAGAGGCTAATCTCTCTCTTTCCTATTTTTGTGGGTACAATCATTTTCTCCTAAAATATGTGGATACTACTCATTTAAGTATCTTTATTTTCCATTTCTTTTCCTCCATACTTCATACTACTCATATAAGTATATTTCTTTTCCAGTTTCCTTTCCTTCCTCTTTTATGTTTTTTTTTTCTTTTGCATTAGAAGAGGTTTGAATGCTCTTTCCTCGGTTTCATACCCTCTTTTCTACTTTCGTGGGTTACGGTCATTTCTCCCGAAATTTTTGGGTATCGTCATATAAATATGAGAACCGCTTTTCTTTCTATTTTCTTTTCTGATTTAAGAGAAGTTGTATAGAAACAATTAAGATTTTGTAAGATGGAAGTTTGCTTCAATTTTTCTCTAAAGTAAAAGTGAGATTTGGTTTTAGTGAACGAGTTGGGTCATTATGCTAGAGTCTACGGGTACCAAGGGAAACTGGACTTGGCAAGAGTCCTTGTAATTAAAGATCTCACAGGGCTAAGTCGAAAGAATTAAGAGCCTAAACGAACTACTTACCCAAAAAAAAGTTAAAAAAAAACTATCTTTTGGCTATCTATACATGCCCTCTAAGAGTTTGTTTGGCAATTGAGAAAAGCTGTTTTTTCAGAGAATCCGAGTGGAAGCTTGAAAAAAGGTAGAAGTAAAAAACTCTGCCTGGAACTTGAGAACGCAACCGATTATGAGAACCGGAGAGAGCTCGTACTCGAGCTTTGGCAAAAAGAGATTGAGAGGGGGAAATGGATCATGAGGTTATAGAAAGAGAAGGGGTTCTTATGTTACCCCATTTTTCTGAGAAATCGGTAGCAAACCTATCATGTTGCCCTGAGAAATCGGTAGCACACCCCAAGGGGTAAGCTGCAGTTTTCCCCAAAAACAAGGAAAAGCATGATTCCCAAATGGGAGAAAATGTGGTGACTAAGAAAACAAGGAAAAGCATGATTCCCAAATTGGGAAGAGCATGATTCCCAAATTGGGAAGAGCATGATTCC